CAAAACTACTTACACCACCAACGGAATTGAGAACATGATGAGAACTCTATAAATAGGTCGTACAAATATAGGGTTGAAAATGACTCTTCAGTCCCCTTTTGAAACCAAAACTGATGCCGGCAACAGCACCACCTACGTGAGTGTTCAGACGGTAGGACATGAGTTCGAATTCGCCGTCTGGAGGAATAAAGGAGATTGTTCGATCATTTTCAAAACGTGACAATCGGACGCATTGATGAAATTTAATGTCTTCCAATTCCACAGACTTGCTCTTTCCTCGATCTAGGGAAGAAGCAATGTCAAGCATTAAGGAAACATGTCCAAGGTCTTTAAAATAGCCAAAAAAAAATACACACAAGCACAAGCTGCAGAATATCAGTAAGCATAAGTCAAATAAGCTTGTTTTCAGCCATATCAAAACAGTAAGCATAAAACACACCACTCAGCTGCACCGAAAACCAATTTTTAAGAAAATGGAGCGGCAGTGGATCGCGTAGTACAGCATGAACTAATGAATAAGTTTATACGACAGCATAATTCCTACAACAGTGGAAATGACCCCGTTCTCAATCTATCTGGCAAGGTATTCTGGATGGTATGACACTACTCAATCAGCATTGGCTCCCGACATCCACAATATCTATTTTATGTCTTTAATATCCCATTAAACTGCAACAATATCTCTCGCACTCTAGGAATGAAAAAGTTAGCAGAAATTCTGGCATAAGAGCTACACTTACTGATAATTCAACCAGTTACGGAAAAAAAACGGACTCAAGATAATAGTCATGGAGCAGAAATACAAGACCACTCGCGAAGTTAACAACTTAGCAATTACTAAACTAATCCGCGCTGTAAAAACCAAGTAAGGCACAGAAGGAGCCATATCCCACACAAATATACAGATAAGAGACAGTGAAAGTAAAAGCAGACTCGAAAGGTGTCGACCATTAAGAGTAGAAAGGTACAGCAACAGTACTAGGAGATGCATTGTTACAACTAAAGAGAACTCTCATAGGCAAGAAGAATGAAACTCACTGCCGTTGGGCTCCAAACGGAGTTTATCATTGACACCTAATCGAAGCTCTGGCATACCCGAAAGGTAAACTTTCATTTTTATGCAGCCAACGATTTCGCTTTGAAGCACGTTGCCGGTAGAGCTAACCTAAAGTCACGGTTGAAATATAGGGAGCAACTTTCTTACAAGGAGATTTACGCTTTCGATAACATCAAGGAACACTTCATTCCTCCGATATTTCACAGACTCCGAGCGCCAAGATACAGCATTAGTGACGGCCATAGGTGGTCTAGGTGCGATCTCAAGTTTGCTGCTTTGTTGGGTGATATACTCCTGAAGTATTTTAGAGTCCGTTGTTTGTGGATAGCCAAAATCCATAATTTCATCAAGGAGCTCATAAGTGATGACAAAGTTATCGCGAATACTTTCTTCCTCCAAATCTTTGAAATACTCAAGAAATATCTACACAAACGATGTCACAAACAACTAATGAGTTTACATTTATCAATCTGTATAGAAATGCAAAAACAACTGCAGCATTTGCATTCCTTTTCGTCAGAGCGACAAGGTAAAGGTAGTTATACTTGACGTAAATAAAACTGGCACCCTCGTAGTGGATCACGGGAGAAATTTGGCCCTCATCTTCCTTCTCTATGACGATTGACAGAAATTTCTCAATCACGCCCATGTCAATATCATCGCGATAATTTCGATAGATAAGGACTTTTCCTTTTGAATCGAGAATAAAAATCGCCGACGCAGACATGTCAAAGCGAGCAGTGCAATCACGGGCTAGTGCGTTTGGCACTCTTAGCCCATAGATCATCGTCAGTCAATCATGCCAATCAATGATTTATTGCGTTTAAAAAGGATTCTAGGCTTGATATCGGTCTTGCTTAAAGACAATGGCTTGATTTCGTGATATAGATAAATTAAATCGCAAAGTAAGGTGTGAAGTTGTGGACTGATGACCTGATAAGGTCAAGTATATAATTATAGTAAACTTTACTGTTGGTGTAGTGATAGTTCCAGCATTATTAAGCGAATGCTTATTAAATAATACCACGAAACGCTTTTTGAATTAACCGCACTCATATTTTTTGCTCATTCGACTAGCGGTATGCCTGGTGGACTTGGCCAACCATCTTGCATTTGCAGGAAGCCTCATTTCTATCCATTCTCTTATTGCTACCATTTTATTCCTTGTATTGCGCCTATTAATGTGTAATAGGTAGTTTCTTGATGCTCTGGAGCCTCTGGATGTCTCTGAATTCGATAATGTCAATACATTAAGATTAGATACCGTGGTGCCTTAGATGCGTGATCTTTGGGTACCTCACTGTCACCTTGGTAAACGTTTTGCTCTTGAATGCGTGGGCTGGCCTTCGGTCCATGTCAAGATCCTGCCCCTTCTTCTCTTAGAATACATACATCCTGTCTGACGTTATGCCTTCTTCCACCCGATGGGGAGTATAGGAACCCTGCAGTTGCTACTCTAATACCCTGAGTGTAATGCTTTGTTTATGTTAGGTTCGGCGGTCAGCTTAGGATTTTTTGATCCTTGTACACGTGGGCTGACCTTTGGGTCATGCTCAGACCCACTCTTCCTATTGACTTCCACCAGCTGGGAAGTCTTGGGACTCTACAGTAGTGGCAGCGGAAAGCCAACTCGGCATTTTTTCATCGGCCTTTATTTTAGGTGGGGTCTCTCTCTGTGGCTTGTTCTTCTTTGGTCATTTGTTAAAAGCGACATAGTGTCCGCAAAAAACTATTGCCAAACAGAAACCACAGTCGTACTGGCATCCTACGTTTGTGTTGCTAACCTTTGCCAATTAATTGACTGATTTCCGGAAAGCAACAGCATGAACAAGACGACTAGCAAGGGTTCGATAGGATAATGCGGTGGTTCAGTACCTACAAATAGCACAGGATCTGGAGATGTATGTCGCTTGTTCTTGGCGTTGATGCTCCGCGTTTGAATATCTTCGAACCTGATACTCTGTTGGACCCCAAAATCGGGTTTCCATGGCCTGAAACTCGAAACTTCCCTTTTCACGACAAGAAGTTTATAATCCAACCAGTAGACAAGACTGCAAATGAAGTCTACTTTTCAGTGGAGAAATTCAAGATTAATAAGCGCATTTTGGCGTTGTGCACCGGCAATCGTGAGTGGAATAGATGAAGGTACAGGCGAAAAGGAGACTTGAATTGAAGGAGGCGCATTTACCTTGGTGACGGAGAATCCCTGAACCCTTTCCGCGTTCCACAGATATGCTATTAACAACTGAAGCTACATCGCCGTGAACTATTTGGAGAAGCTTCGTGTCGAAATTTCCCATACAAAATCCGTGTTTAGGTGTGGAAATTAACACTACGGTTCTCCTTACATGCGGGACAGTGGCTCATCCCGTCTTCCCTGTAACATAACTGTTTTAGACCAGAGTTTCACCATCTAGACTGGAAGCAATTGATGATCAGCAGGTGTAGGCGGCCCTGAATGTGGTTGTCAGACCGAACGTAACTCCAGACCCCACTGAAACTGTCGAGGAGACCAGGTACGGTTCCTCAGTCTCATGCCATCCGTCGACTGGCGCGGTTGGCTCGTGGGTGCCTTCTTGTAGCACCGAATATGTCGTGATGGCTGGCGCGGGAGGTGTACCCAAGGGAGCGTCTACGACGCCGTTCAAAAGAAGAGAAGGGCGGTGTAATACTTTGTTCATGCGATCGCATGACGTTCAGCGGTCACTTTAGGATTTGTCTGCCCCTGGTACACGTGGGCTGGCCTTCGGGCCATACTCAGGCCCATTTTTCCTGTCGTCTTCGGAATACATGTATCCAGCCGCAATTACTGACTTCTTCTACCGGCTAGGAAGTCTTGAGACGCTACACTAAGCACCAGCTTATTCAGCAAAGTGAACATTAGCGAAAGTAGAAACACGTTTTATGGAGATTAGATAGCTTCTTTTCCATACCGTTACAGCTGTAATTTACATAGAGTTGTTGCCTAAATGCACCATATGGACCAGAGGGAAGATACTACTTCAAATGTCCCACTGGAGAATGGAATGGACGCTAAATCAGTCGTGCTCTGGATCGTATTTCCTTTGTTCGCTTCTGTGCTACTACACGAATCTGCTTAACACCTTCCTAAGCGAATTTCCGCCTGACGAAACACATGATAGAGATCCATAGTATGGCATGCTTGTGGCCTCCACACTCATTTCTAACTAAGCTTTTAATGATTTCCTTTTTAACTTTCGCAGCCACGTTAGTAGATTCATATAAATAAACTGCATTTCTCTTAAGAAATAACAGCCATTCTCCGCCGCCTGGATGGTATGGGATGTTTGAGCAGGGATAGCGCACGCCACATTGTTCTGCTTTAAGCGAAGTGGGGATGTACCCAGGAAGTTCGCTACTTGAAATGCAATTTCTCTCCATTTTTTTAGTTACATTCTGTAGCTAGGCCGTAAACATGAGAAGCTGTGTTGTTTGGAGCCACTTTTGTAAGTTAATAATTAA